TATAAATCATCTTCACGTGTCCTTTTAACCCATATTTGTAGGACGTTTCGGTGCCTCTGAACAAAATTGTCTCTGGAGATCTGTGCACACTTCCTTTTTCTATCTCAGGTGCTAATTATATTATGTGGAGCCTCCTCCCAGGATGCTTTATTTTTGCGGGTGTTTTGGGGGTTTCTTATGTTCTGTTTTAATCAGGTCAATATGCACATAATACAGTGACATTTACTTTACTGTGTTTTTTTCAAATGCTCTGAAAAATCTCTCTGCAGCCACTATATAATACCCTGGTGTGGTTTTTGTTATGAAAACGGTACTTAAAGGAAACAGAAATAGCAAAGAATAACTGCATCATTGTGGGAATTCAAATGTGTGTCTTCTGGGGAGGCTTTCACAGCTCAAGCCAGGGTTTCTTAGGTTTCTTTCCTTGAATAACTTTCTGGGATTTGACATCAGCAGAGTCCCTTGCTAAGCCAAGGAAAGTACCATAAGAAATCAAAGTAATGTGTAGGATTTTTAACATACAAGCTACTTCAAGAAAAGACATGTGAAAATTGAGAACTTATCAGTCCCTTTGATTTCCTGGCAATGTGACTGGGGATGTACCTCTCATCCCCAGGAATGGAAGGTCTCTCAGAGAAGGGAGATAGAGTGTTCTCTGAAAAACTGAGATTGCTTCTTTGACCACTTTCTCTTCCCAACCATAGTTTGCTGCTCCTGGAGGATGACTGTCCCCATGATCTTCAGGTGTGACAGTGCTGCTCTTTTGGTGTGGGAAAAACAGAGAATTTGCACATCCTAATATCATAACTAAGACACCAGTAATCTGCTTTTTCCTCACTGCAGCCAGAAATACCCTTCCCTGACCTTGCCTGTCTTTCAGTCATCAGGGGTCTGTGAGTCTTGAGGAAAGGAAAGCTGCCCTGAAACAGATAACTTCCTTCAGTTGCCCATTTTGTATTATAAATAACCCTGCTAAAAGGATTGACAAATTTTTCATGCATTTGAGGATTTCTGTCGTCTTGTGCTGCCACAGTTTGTATCCTTCCCCATTTATTTATCCAGCTGGTTTGGAAACAGACTTCTTTAATGAGTGGGAAACTTGACCACCAGAGGATCTCTGTTTTCGCCACCTTTCATTGACTGTGGTTTTGTTTTTCCTTTTCCAGCCTTCTCCCATGCTTAGTATAAAACTTTCTGATAGTACTTAACGTAGATATCTACATTTTGAAAGTATGTTGAACTTTAAGAATTGTCTTTTGGCTTTCAGTGGGAATAGTCTAATCAACCTTGACTGCAGTTTTAGCCGCTGTCCCTTCAAGTCAGTTGTGCTGTCTTTATCTTTTCATTCATGATGTGTACTTCTGGTCTTTGTAACGTTTTCATCCTCTTCAGAATTGTGACAACTGCCAACCAATTTGACCAAGCTGCCTCTGGGAGAGACAGCAGCAACAGAGAGGATATCTTATGGAAGCAGCTTGTCACAACCATTTCTGTTGAACTGGGATAAACCACCTACAGCAAAAACTTTGCTTTCTGTGGTCTAAGTATCTTCCCCAGCTCCTGCTGGAGCTCTTCCTTTGGGAAATGGTTTTGGCCTTTCTTTGGCCAAATGTGTACACCAATTCTTTCCCCCTTTTTTTTCCTATTTTCCTTCTAGTGAGAACTCTTGTATAAAAAGGAAATCTATGACAGTATATGAAGTGCAAGGCTCCTCAGCTTTCTGTAATGCAACTTTTTTTGCCAGTCTTTGAGGAAAGAGTTTTAGAAGTCCTCCTATAAGTTGTCAAAAATTACCTTACCTTCAAAAAAACATTTTGTGTGTGTTTGTATCATCCCTTAAAAATCCAACACATCTGTTTTTAAATCCCTGTTTCCCCACTCTGAGACTATTTCAGCTCTGTTGGAGCTTTGAACCGCCCTGGGTTTTTTAGTTCACTTTAGTCTAACTAATTTGTGGCAGTCTGTAATCTCGCAAAGTCTAAAAGAGACCGGTTTCATTTCTGCACAGTAGAGCAGCTCACTCCAACTGAAATTTATGTCAACCATCAAAAATATACACCCTCACAAATGTTACTTTTTGCTCTTTTATTTCTGCTTGCCTGACAAGGAAGTCACAGTAACAACTCTTCTTTCCTGAAAATTACAGACAGAAATGGGATTTTAAAACATAGTTAAAATCTGTCCTGGAAGTATCTCTCATCTATTTTTGACCCTTCATGTATTGTTGATGCACATTCATAGCTGTTAAGTCTGGGGGGACCATTATGGTTCTGGAATATGACTTAATACTTCCGATATCAGTCTCAGTAATTTATGGTGGGATGCAGAAATATTACTGTGGGTCAGCTTTAGCCTTTTTGTAACCAGTAGGTGAACCGATGTCCTTTTGTGATACTCAAAATTGTAATGAACGGTGGGTCTTCCTCATTGAACAAAACTTCTGAAATTGTAACAGCTTTCATAGAAAGCTCAAGCATATATCATTGCTTGCAGAAATGTTTATCTGTGTATAGACTGGGCAACGAGGTGCTGGAGAGAAATGCCATGGAAAGGGATGTGGGGGATCCTGGTCAGTGGCAAGCTGAACATGAGTCAGCAGTGCCCTGGCAGCCAGGAGGGCAAACCTGGGATGTACGTGGCACAGCACTGCCAGCTGGGAAAGGGAGGGGATTGTCCTGTTCTCCCCTGGGATGGCCTCACCTCAAGTGCTGGGGGCAGTTTTGGGTGCCACAATATAAAAAAAAGCAATCAGCTATTGGAGAGCATCCAAAGAAGGGCCAGGAGGATAGTAAAGACTCTGGAAGGGAATCCATGTGAAGAGCAGCTGAGGTCTCTTCAGCCTGGAGGAGACTGAAGTGAGACCTCACTGCAGTTACATCTTCCTCATGAGGGGAAAAGAGGGGCAGGCTCTGATCTCTTCTCTGTGGTGAGGACCCAAGGGAATGGACCGAAGTTGTGTCAGGGGAGGTTTAGATTGGATATTAGAAGAAAGTTCTTCACCCAGAGGGTGGTTGGGATTAGAATGGACTCCACAGAGGAGTGATCACAGCACCAAGCTTGACAGAGTTTAGAAAGTGTTTGGACATTGCTCTCAGGCACGTGGTGTGACTCTTGCAGTGTCCTGTGCAGGGCCAGGAACTGGACTCCATCATCCTGATGGGTCCTTTCCCACTCAGCTTATTCTGTGTTTCTCTGATTATACTTTTTGTCTCGCCATGAAAAAAGCAATTATAACTGCAGACCAGTGGACAGAAAAGAAGCAAGAAGTCAAGCAAAGCAAGCATTAAGTGAAAATCCTGAGGGATGAAAGGGAACTTACAAAGAGAGGGGGTTGAGTTCATTGTCAGCTAGATGGAAGTTGAGCACAGTGAGCAAATAAGCTATCTCCTACTGTGTTCAGGGAAATAGATTTTCTAGTACACTCATTGTAAATAACAAGACCATATGAGAGATGTGCATCCTTTATCAACTTCTTTTTTAGAATAAAATGACATTTTGACCCTGAATTTCTGCTAACTTCTTGGGTGAGAAGGGAGTAACAATATTTATGCTTAAACAATCTGGTCCTGATTTTAAATGCATATACTTCTGGAAAATCTGACACCCTGTGATAAACTGTTCAAATCATATCCTCACTGTTTAAAAGTGTGTACTGTAGTTATAGAACTTCAAAGGAAATTGAGAATGGCCTGAGGGAAGAACTGATGAGAAATCTGTAGTTATCTGCATTTAGAAACAAATGAATCTTTGGAAGCCTTTTTTGGCTACTGTTTGCCTTTTATGCTTGTGTCTTTTATTTTTCAGGTTGTAACTTTTTTTTCTTAGAAAACATCATCTCTTTATTTGACAGGCTGCCACTCACACACCTTTCCCCAAAAAGTCAACCATTGACACTTTCTTCTTCATTCTTATTTGCAGCCAAAAATGTTTGGATTAAGCTTTTGACAGTAGTCAAGAAATTCTGAAGATGGTAGACACTTTCCGTGAAAGCAGTTATTTCTGTGAGCCTGTTTATTTCTGTCTGAGCCTTACTGAATAGTATCAGAATTCATTTTCATCACTGCCAAAATCTGAATTCTGGAGGTGTCACTAAGCAGATCTCTGATTGGAGTTTTATTTCCATGCTATTTGATTTCTGAAGTCATTCCAAACACATTAAGATGGGGAAAGAACAAGTTGAAAGATATAAACAGAGTAAGGAGAGCAAAACTGACAGAGAAAGGAAAAATAGGAAAGGATGCTTCCTGTAAAATAGTAGAAAAAGAGTGGATCTATTTATTTGCAGAAGATAGACTGGCTTTGGTTAGTCATTGGTAAAAGACTACTTCCATCTCTCATTGTTTTTTTATTTTTTTAATAATCTATTTAATTTTTCTATTTTTAAATTCTTTTAATCCTCTTTATGTCTTATTTGCTTACCTTTCATTCCCTGTCCCTCCTTTTTGGGCAGGTAATTTTAGACACAACTCTTCACTTCTGTCTTGCCTGACTCTTAGCCTTTTGACAAGTTTTTCAAAGTCAAATATATATTTATTGTGACTAATTGTTGCTGTGTGGGGTGGTTATATTGGCTTTTTTTAGCTTGTAAATTACAGGTGCAGTTCATGCCTGTACTTTCCATACTCACATTTGTGTTTATAAATGAGTATTAGCTGGTTTGGGCCAGTAATTTGTTTCATGTTATACATGAATATGAATATATGTCATATTCATGTTTCATTCTCTATAAAAATGAAGTTAGAAATATCTGCCCCAAATTTTCACCTTGGTTAGCGGAGTCTCTCATTGTCAATGAGAAGCTGAAATGTTCCATCAGAACCTTGTCACATCTTTGTGACAGGACATGCTGTTATGGTTTAAAATTAGACAGCAACTAAGCCACATGCAGCCACCAGCTCACTCTCCTCCCAGTGTGATGGTGGAGAGCACTGGAAAGGTAAAAGTGAGAAAAAACCTGTGGGTGAATAATATAGGTAAGGCAAAACAAGGAATTCCTTTACCATTTCCCATGGGAATGCAGGTGTTTATCCATCCACAGAAAAGCAGGGCTCCCTGACTTGGGAAGACAAATGCCATTCCTCTGAACATCCCCTCCTTCCTCCCTTCAGCTCTATAGGCTGACCATGATGTCACAGGGGCATGGAATGTGCCTTGGGTTGGTTGGGATCAGCTGTCCCAGCTCTGTCCTCTCCCAGTTTCTTGTGAACCCCAGCCTCTTTGCTGGTGGGATGGGATGGGAAGCTGAAGAGCCCTTGACTCAGCACCAACCAAAACAGCAAAGTGTCATGAACATTATTCTCATTCTAAATCCAAAACAACGCCATACCAGCTACTGGGAAGTAAATTTGCTCTATCCCAGCTGAAACCTGGATATGTGCTAATGCTTTTATGTGGAGTAGAAGTTCATACATTTCCTAGACCACACTCACATCAGTACTGGGGGTTTATTTAATTCCTTGTTTCCCCCCTCAGTTCATTGTGCATTTCTTGCTCTTTTTGTCTCTTCCTTGGGCTCTCTGCCATCCCCCACTCTGTTCCAGAAGCAATGTGTTAGCATGTCATCATGGTTGCTAATCTTTTCTTCTCAGCCATCTGGAAGATAAGGAGTTCTTTTGCTGAGTATCTAAACAAAACAGTCTCCTCCTTCTGCTGTCCCATCATTGACATCTGAAGTGAAATACTTCATTGGTTTATCTGGGGCCTGATCCTCCAGAGGGATTTAACTCTTTCCAAGGGTGGTAGGATAGGAGATTACTTGCCCCTTTCCAGTGAGATCCTGGTTGCTGTACTGTGCTTAACCTTTTCCCAGCAGTATGACAAAGTTTTAGGTAAATCAGAGGAGCTCCAGAATGCAACAATAAGAATGACAAGAGATTAGAAGTGACCTGTGAGGAAAACATGAGGAACTTTCCTTTTTTTTTTTTACTAGCCAAAAGAGAGAAGATGGTCTACACTTACAGACCCCAATACAGCAAGGTCTGTCATAAAAAGGTCAGGAATTAGTTGTTCTTCAGGTTTGTGATCAAGTTTGCAACAGAGATTAGCTCTTATATTAGAAAGACTGTATTTATAAAGGTAGCAAAGTGTCGAAACAGACTGATTAGGGAGATTGTGAACTTGCCTCAGGAAGAATTGGTGTAAGACAGTGTTGTCACAGATGCTCTAGGAAGTGTTTTGCCTAATTTGTGTCAGGGGACCTCTTCCATCTCTGTAGTTCTGTGGGGAGAAGAGTGCTGGAGACAGCACACCACCAGTTGCCATCAGCCAGTTCTTTGATCTGCAGGCAATTTATCTCCTGGCTGAAATTGATGGCAATAGTGACAAGTTGCCATGAGCTCAGAATGGCCTCATTTCCCACACCAACATCAACAAGCTGCTGATCTCTCCTGCCTGGAGTATCCCCTTACATTCTGTGCTCTTCAAGGGGTGCTGTGTTACTGCTAAGCGGACAAAAAAGTGCTGCAAGAGCAAAGAGCAGACTTGATTTTGTTCTTCCTTCATTAGTTAGCAGTCATCATCATTACCACAAGACTGGGTGTCAACATGTAGCTCAGTCAATGAGGAACACTGAAATATGTTCTGGCTCAGATTCAGGTGGAAGAAATGTTACCTTGGTCCCAGAGCCAACCACTAGGACAGAAGGACAATAGTGGCATTCAGGCTGTCTGACACTGTGTTCCTGTGTCTCTGCCAAAGACATCCTGGTACCATGACTTTAACAAACCTTGTGAAATCCTGGGATCACTTATTCACTAATCTTTCTTGATGAATAAAACTCCCTGTTTCTCCCCAGGATTCATCTCTTCCTTTCTAAATTTTCCCCCTGTCTCTGGTTGAAGGACAGAAGGATAATATTGCAGAAAGATTTTCATTTGAGAAAGGGCTCTGTCGAGTACCCCTTTGTGGTTGTTGTTGTTGTTGTTTGTATTTTGTTTTGGTTGTGGTATTTTTTGTCATAAGCAGTGAGTGCTCAGGAATTCATACCCACTGCTGTGGTAGATATTAGCTCTCCAGTTATTGAACACTGGCCCTCAGCACTGTAACACTGCTTTCCTTAGGAATGGTGCTGTTTGGATCCTGTTCCCCATTGCTCTACTACTATTAAAACTGTGCTTCTGATGAAAGTAAGATTTTGTTATCTGAAGGCCTGAGGTGTTAATGTTTTATTTCTTTGTTTTTCTCAGGAAAGGATGAAGGTGCATGTTTTAGTTCCTAGCATTCATTAAAAATTCTGTACCTGTACTTTTTTCTGCTTCTCTGCTACTTATTTGGGCAAGATTGTTTTCCCTTGATGGATCCCACCCTCCAGAATGGGAAGGTGTAGGAGATTATCACTTTACCTAAGGAACCTTTCAGATCAAGAGCCAGCCTGCTGGTGACCTACTTAGTGCCTGCATTTACTGTCCATGTGATGGATCATACGTTGCTGGCTGGCTTACAGATGGACTGATCCATTTGCCTTGTCTGCAGGCATAAATGAGAGCTTCCTGCCATCAACTGTCTCAAAACATCCTCCCTGTCACATCATTCAGGGAGGCATTTTTCATTGGGGGAAGCAGTGAAAACATGTGCCCTGCTTGAAGCACCTGCTGCCCGTAGAGCAGGACTTCCATGACTGGTGGCATGAGGAGACAGACCCAGCTCTGCTTTCCATGTCAAAAATACAGACACCAGAGGGAGGCAAAGTGAGGGAGAAAGTAAGGTCACCAGCTGGGACAAGTGAATTAGAAGAGTCTTAGTGGGAAGTGTTGTAAATGTCTGTGGGAAGGGGAAAGTGGCAGAGATGTTTGAGGAGAAAAAAGAAGAGAATTAAGATAAGAACATGGGTGAAAGCCAGCAAGATAAGGAGTAAAAAAAACCCAAGGGACTGGCTGACAAGTGGATACATGGTATGCTTCCAGCTAAATTTATATATTAATTTATTATTTAAATCCTGTGTTGCTGTTTTCCCTATCCTGATATTTTCTTGGTATAAACTCAAATTTTAAGACTCTTCTTCAGGAAAAAGAGTAAACTAGAAAACCAATAATTAAGAGCTGTTATTTGAAGGAAAAAACTGTCAGTGTTTCAGAGCTTCTTTCATAGGTGAAAATGTTTAGAAGGAAGTATATTTTTCATCTCTCATTTAGATGCCTTATTCACCTTATGCTACTTCCTTGAAAGTGGATTTCCAGCCAACCACTCATCACCTGCTTTCCTAGCACTCTTTCCAGCATTTCTAAACCTTGGCACTTTTCCATTTCCATATTCTCACTTAAAAAAGTTACTTCTGTTGTTACATATCCAGAATAATAATCTTTCTGATACCAAACAGCAATATATTTTCAGGAATGGCTCTTTAACTGCTTAAAAAGCAACAGTTCATTTTTCACCATTGCTTTAAAAAAATGTTTTGTTATCAGGTCTTCATGGTTATTATTTTTGGAACATTCTAGAACACAATATTTTGGGTGCTCGTCTTTTTCTTTGATGATTCTTTGAGTAGTTTTAGAGTCTGAAAAACCCACATTAAAAACTGCAGTTAATGAAATGGGGGAAAGCAAGACTGAGGGTAAAAAGCAGAGCAGGTGAGCTGAGAGGCCAAGAAACTGGGTGGTTTGGCAAAGTAGCTTGACAGCTGGAAATTTCAAGACAAATTAGGAGGAGCTCTGAGATCTAGACATGCAGTCTGCACTAAATATCTTTGTCTCCTGTTCTCCCACCCTAGAGATGAGTAATCTCCAGTGATGTCAGTGGGCGTTATCCCCATGTCCTGAGGGGAATAGATTGGGCCCCTGTAGTGTAAGTAATGCCTCATTTTCTCTTAAGATGGAAAATCATAGGAGTTTCCCTTAAATGTTCCACAAGGGAGCTGAGAGGGAGGAAGAAAGGTTTAATATTCCTTTCTAGTTGCATCACTTGCATTTTTTGCAGTTGAGCTGCAGAGCACAAACGCAGATTTGGAATTGTTTAAATGACAAGAGCTATTGCTTAGCTTCTCAAATATTTTGGCTGTTTAGATACTCCGTCAAGCCGCAGTTCTCCCCCCAACAAATGCACTCCTGGGAGAGCAAATGGTAAAGAACACGACCAGCCTGAAGCTGAGTGACTGTGCTTTTGGCAGGGAGGTGCCAGCTGTCACTGGAAACAAGTCCAGGATTTGTTGTGAGGATCTTCCTAAGGAAAATGGATCTTTGAAAAGGTTATAAAAGAAATACAATTCAGAAATGTTTGCTAATGATATTTAGATCATTACTTTATATTGGAAAAATATAGCTCATAAACTACTTCTGACAATGAAGTCTGTCGTTCTATACAAAGGCACACACACAGAATTTGGGGGGAAAAAAAGGTGTTCTGATTCTTTAGGCTTATGAGTCTTGAGTAAATTTAATTTTTAAAAAAACAAAGAAAACCCCTGAAGTGTGTGCTCAAAGAACATGAAAACCTAAACATGTGAAATTTCTATGAATTATGAAAATGGGCACTGTGCTGTAGGAAATATCCAAGGAAATTCTGTAGTTTTTAGAGGAAGTCTAGCACTGAGCTAGATGCCTTCCAGATGTTTAAGGGTCCATCCTTCATGTAGACAATTAGTTTCACTTAAAAAGAAAGGAGAGGCTGTGAAAGATGGGAAGAAATTACTAGAACAAATGTTAACTTTGCAGATCCCAAGTGGAAGCAACAGAAAGAGAGAATTTCAGACCTGACTCTCCCAGGACCTGAAGGTGAAGGGGACTGAACATCAGCCCTGGCACATGCAGAGTGACATGCCATATAAAAATTAAATTAGGGAGGGCTCAGAGCAGCCCACTGCTCTCTCTTTTTCACTGAATGATCTTCTTAGTTGTCCTGCTGTCGCCCTGAAAACTCAGCTTCTGAGCTTGCTGACATGGTTTTCTAAGGACTTTCCCAGGACAGTAACTGTAAACATAGATATGTGTACATTCTTTCTTTTACACGTCTTCTGATGGGAATCACTCATGGCCAGTGCAATGAGAAAGTGTTATCCTGACCATCCAATCCCTGGCCATGGTCAGAAGCCTATAAATCCTGGGAGGGAAAATAAACGCTGCTCTTTCTTGCACCACACCTCGACCTGTGTCC